ACTGTGAAATAGCATGTTTGTGGTGTGACATCATCTGTGAGGCATGTCAACAGGAAACATGTGGTCTTTGTCCAGCAGATATCTGTAGTATGTAAGTCAGTTGGTGGTGTTTGCATGAATGAATCTCCTAGCTGATCAGCTGGGTCTGAAGTAACACGAGCAGTGCAATGCAGCTGTTGTTCATGCATGAATGTGCATGAAGGTGGAAGTCTATCTTTGGCCATAGAGAGCAAGGCTACACGCTGACTCTCATCAGTGAGGGACCATTCAAATACAAACAGCAGATCAGGCACTAGTGTCACCAAAGTGTCCACTGAGTGTGTAGACTTTGACACCACTAGTCCTTCAGGGCTACAATCGATGGACAGGTTGAATTTAAGAATTAGGTCTCTGGCCAGAAGATTTATTGGACACGTCTGTGAGAGTAGAAACTGATGCGAGTGGGCAGTGTGATCAAAAGGGTCAATCACATTCAGAGGAGCTGTCATTACCTCTGGGATTGCTACACCAGATGCTCCTGTGGAGTGGATAATCTTGCCACACAGTGGAGCATGTGGGAGACATTTCTTCATTATCAGAGATTGAGTGGCCCCTGAGTCCACTAAAAACTTTAGTGGAACATTGTTTACAAGCATTGTGAGCATGGGCAACTTCAAACATGCTGACTGAGTGTATTTAAAATACGTGGAGGTGCATGTGGTATCAGTAGGTGAAACAGCTGGTGTGTGTGTGCGTGTACTTGCTGTTTGGAGACCTGGACCTTCCTCGCCGCCCCCTCCTAGTCAGGATGAGTGCCCGCCTCGGTGGCCACGACCCCTGGGTGGACCCTGGCTTCGACCAACCGATTGTTGGGAGCCTGGGTGAAAGTTCTGTTCATGGTTCATGGGCCATGGCTCCCGTGGTGGCATTGGTGCTCGATTCTGGAATGGTCGGCCACGCCCTCGCCATGTGGTGCGTTTTTGTGGACAGTCTCTCATCCAATGGTCAGTCCCTCCACACAGGAAGCATGGCTGTGGCCCTCCTGCGTACCCACGTGATTGTTGCTGTTGTGAGCCTGGCCAAGGGCCAGGGGGTGGTGGTGGGCGTGAAAAAGCTGGAAGCTGTTGTGGTGGGGCAGTGTTCAAGGTCATCTGTTGTGCAGCTTGAAGAAGAGTCAGCTGAGCATTTTCTGCTTGTTTTGTCTTTTTCTTCAGTGTTGCAGTTTCTTCGGCCGTGTGCTGTTCCCAGGCGTGTCTGGCATGACGTAGGAGGTCGTTGAGGCGAATGCCAGCTTTCCAGCCTATGTATGTGTTCTGGACAGACTTGCGGATTGTTGGCAAGAATCCATCCATCACACATTGACACAGGATGGTTTCGAAGGCTGAAGCCTGTGCAGCATCACGCCAGTCGTTGTCCGGAAAAGCGATTCCAGAGTGTGTGCGAAACACAGGGATGAGACGATCGATGTACTCTTGAGGGGGTTCACCACTCTTCTGGACCGTGTCCTTGATCTTTGCATATTGAGGCGTCTGTGGAAATGCTGTCTTAACTCTCCTGACAATGTCACCCACAGCTGTCACAAAGTCTTGGTTATCTGCGTGGGCGTATTCGACACGCATCAGCCGTTGGTTGCCAGGCGGGACCTCAAACAGCTGTGCGCCTATGGTGCTTACAAAGTTCATACCATAGACAGCTGTGAGAATCATTTTTAGTTCTGGTATGGTGGGGCGGAGAATACGAACCATGTTGGTGATGGCTTCACCCACAGCATCTCCTCCTTGGGCCATGTCTGGGAGGTGTTGTTTGGCTAGGCTTGTCAGGTCGCTCAGTGGCCAAGTTCTGAACACCAGTTGTGGTCCGTCAGGTCCACCCACCTCCAGCATCGGCATGGTCGTGGAGTTGTGTTCACCATCTGAAGTCATGGGGGAGCTTATAGAACCGTTGTTATGTTGTGACTGTTGCAGTCTCTGTATTTCAGCCTCCAGCAGTTTTTCTTTTTCTCTGAAAGCTTTAATCCGCTCCTCTTGCTCTGCAGCTTTGGACCGAGTTATGATTGAAGAACCCTCAGAAAATGATGAAAGTGATGGTGAAGAGTTTGAAGATGTTGATGTTGATGAGGCTGAGCTGATAGCAGGGGATGGTGGTGGTCTGGTTGTAACATCTCTTCCTCCTGCTGCTCCTTGTTCATCCTGTTGCTGAGGGGCAGCTGGCCTTGGTCCAATAAAATCATCGTCTGAAGTGAGGATCCAAGCAGGTTTCAGTCCAGGGCGGGTCTCATGTGCTTCCATCTGTGGTGGGCCATAGGGTGGTGGGTCTTTGAGTTCAGCCAGCGAGGGGTAGATCGAGGTGGAGGGTGCGGTGGGAGGAAGAGGTCCGTGGGTCTCCGGTGCATGTGTGAGAGAGGACAGAGGAAAAAGAGAGGTTTTCAGTTTTTTTTTTTTTTTTCTTTGTCTCATCTTTGTCTTTTTGAGTCTCTTGTTCTCTGCATTGTTTCTGTAAGTCTTCAACTTTTTGAGACATCTGTAATAATCTGGACTCCGTTTCACCCATCATATTTTTAGACTCATTTTTCCACATTTTAAAAGCTTCCTCATGTTTGTGCATCGTTAAGTAAACCTTTTGAGGTATATTCTTCATCTGAATCATGCTCTGCTTTTGCTGCAATAATTGTTCTTCGAGTTTTTGAATGTCTTCGGTTTCAAAAGATCCATTTTTAGGAAAACCAAATTCGTAATGCCACTGAGAAACGAAACTTAGACAGGAATTTCCGTATAAGCGTTTCATTTTTTCTGCAACCGAACCGTTTGGTATATAATCTAGATTCTTACTTTTTGTCGCTCCCATTTTTATCTTTGTTAGTCACTTTTTCTTTAAGACGAAACTATTTTATTTCCTCAGCCCTCTTTATCAAGACGAGCCTACCTCGGCTTTCCTAGTGAAAACTTACCCTCGGTTCTTACTCTAAATTCAGAACTTACACCTCGGCTTTCCTAATGAAAGCTTA